TTATGTTAAGCTAAGTGGGAAATTTGTTAAGTCCTATTTTATGACTTTCCTTACCACATTTATTAAGTGAATCACTGCAGTTGTTAAATTAGTGGCACCGTTGTTAAGTGAACTTTGCTTGTCAGAAAGTCACAAAAGGTGAGCACATGATCCCGAGACACTGCACCTGTCATAAATATAACAAAAAGTTGTCAAACATCCAAATGTAAATCACATGACGATGGAGATGCTGCAGAGGGCATAAGGGTGAAAAATGGTTATTATAAGTCACTTTTTTCAGTGCCGTTGTAACTTTGAGAGATCACTAAATGAACTGTTGTAAATCGAGGACTACTCATTGTTCCTTTAAAATATTTTAATCTGCTTTCAAAATAGATGATTTATGTTATGGGTTTACTATGAGGATTTGTGAATTGAGACAATTGGAGGAAGGGAAAGAATTCTGAACCTTACAAAGAGAATTTTTATTAAGTAAGGCTTATTCTCTGCACAGGTACATATAAACATTGAAAGCAGAAGGCATCCCTTCAGCCAGTGGTGGGATTCATCCAGTTCGCGCCACTTCAGGAGAAACAGTTGTTAAATTTCTGAGCAATTTGATGAACTGGTTGTTGGAAGAAATCATTAGAGCAGAGAACTGGTTGTTAAATTATTTGAAGTGGGATTCAAATAATTTAACAACCAGTTCTCTGCCTTCAGCCCAGAAAAAACTAAGAAAATAACTGCTTTGGTAAAGATAATTCTTCTATGTTTATAAAATTATTAGGTACTTGGTGTATCATCATACTAATACAAGTCTGTTCTAAGAGTGCAAAAAATCAGGACCATCTATATACAGTATATACACATGTTATAATTATTTGAAGCTTTTACCTCATATACTGATTTATTCAGAATGGGGGGAAAAAGAAACTTCCTGCATTAAAACTGATATGTAAATCTGGGAAGGCAGTGCAATTTGAAGTCCTCTACTGTATCCAGCTGTAAAAGGTGTGGGTTTTCTTGTGTTTGTGGGTCTGCGTTTGTGTTGGCTTACATCTTCCCTTCCCCTCCACGGAATCTGTTCTGCTTTACTAACTTCATTCTTTCATGTGTATTTTACATTTTGCCATGTAGGTTTCTCACAGCTTTGCAGCCCTAGGCGGGCATTCTCTGAACAAGGTCCGCTCCGCCTGATCCGGAGCGCCTCTTTCTTTGCAGGTTTGCTATGTGCTGTATGGATAGTCTAGTTGGTTTGACAAATCTGAGTGGATCTGTAGTTTGGCCTTGGAAATAAGACCCTTAGTCACAGAAGAGAGGATAAGCTCTCACCCCACTCCTGCCAAAAGTGAAATCCCTGTTGTCTTCAATTCACGTCAAACTGAGGAAATCATTTGGGGTTTGGAAATCCCTAACAATATTATAGGGATTACTCATTAGCTTCCGCAAAACTGAATTAATCTTAATGATAAAAAAAACATTTTATTTCACTATTTGCCTAAACCTGAACTAAGCGTCTCCTGTTTGGCTTTCCACTATCCAAGTTTTATTTCCATGGCTGATTTAGATTTTTTTCCCTGTGGATCTGCAAATCTATGATTTCTGAAATAATTATGATCAAGAAACTTTTGATTTGGCAATTGGAGTTCTAGCTTCTGCTTAGAATTTCGCCTCTGGTGAATAAGAATTGGCTGCAAATGCAGATAGTGTCATGCTTAGTTGAAGCAATAGAAGTGCAAATCCAGATCTGATGCGTCGTAGAGCACCTATCCTATAGTGCTTGTCATATTCTTCTTTTCATTCTAGCACTGCTTATAGCTTGGTACCAAGTGCTTTTGCTCCATGGCTAACCTCCCTTTTTCGATAATATTTCGTTTCTGTTGAAATGAAGAGGTGGGCTGCAAATACTGCCTGAACCTTTGTAGAAGCTACTGTGTATGACTAGATCTGCTTTGCAGCCTTCCTTGGTGATGGGTATGCCTTGCTGTTATTTTCAAAGTTCTAAATGAAGTCACCAATGAGCATGATTATTTGGTAAATTAAATGGAGCATGAGATGGTGAGAAAGGTTTTGTGAACTTGGATTAATGGCTGGTCTTCTCTGCATAGTTCACAGCAACCCTATGGACATGCCTGGCCGAGAACTGAGTGAAGACAGAGACAGTGGAATTGCAAGATCTGGTAATATTATTTATTGGTAACATAAGGGCCTGGGTTTTTCTTTATTGTATATTTATTTTGTCATTGTATATTTGTTTTGGTTGGATTACTAAGGCTTAATATGTTTTTTTTATCTGGTACAATACTGAACTTATTGAGCCAATACTGAGCCAATTCTTCTTTCATTCATGGTAAGCAAACCATGGCTTAGCATAATATTCCTTTCTAGTTCAGCAAAAGCATAAAATGTATTAGGCATTCTTAAGAATAACTCGCCAAACAGTTTGCTGAATGCTGTAGCTTGAAAAGACTCAAATCTTGTTTTAATATTGTATTAAAAAGGTATCGCTGTGGGGTTAGATCATTTTACGAAAAGTCTTTGACAGTGTAGGCAGCCGCTAAAAAAAACATTTCTTCCAGTGCATCCTGGGCATATAAGTCTATAGACAGGATGCAAAACAAAATAAATATGGATAGTAGTCTGTATCTGACATCTGGGTTACTTTATAGTGTCTTTTATAGAAGAAGAAGCAACATATAACCACTACAGAAAGGAGAAAGCCTTTTAAGCAATAATTGTTACGTATGTTCAGGTTTTGCTTCTCACATTCACAAAATAAACCTATGTTTCATGAATGAAATGTTTTTTTAAATGCAATCCCCCCCCTTTTTTTTTTAATTGTTGCAGCATCTCTTAGCAGCCTGCTTATCACTCCTTTTCCATCTCCGGGTTCTTCACTGAACAGAAGCTGTGCTAGCAGTTACCAACGGCGCTGGCGTCGCAGTCAGACGACAAGCTTGGAGAATGGAGTCTTCCCAAGATGGTGAGCAGATTGGAAATGCTGTTTGGATTTCCACATGATGTGCATAAGTGTGATTGGCTGACTGCCTGGAAGCCAACATCTTGGTGCACCTTTCAGTGCTCCTGCAAGAGAGTAAATATTTTAAGATAATGGTGCGAACGTAGAATGTAGCTTAATGTACATTTTACGTTGCGGGTTTCCCTTGGGCATTAGAGTTGTGTACCTAATCATTTGAAACAGAATTACCCCCAGTCGCTTTACTCCATATTATTTCCCAGTATCTAAATGACTCCTTTTAATTCAGTGGGGTTTACTTCCTCCACTCCCAACTTACCTTATTTGAAAAGTATGAAAAGAAACTAGAGCATACTGTTTTATGGGACATTCATGTTGCAATAGACTATAAGCCTACTGCAACATAAAGTCTCATGAAGATATGGGTTAAGAAGGGGCAAACAGACAAAAGCCCAGGTAGGAAATGGCGGAGACTGGCAAAGCTATTTGTGAGAAAGCTGAATATGAACTGGCAGTGTGAGATAGCTTCCAAATATCGGGAAATTATCATTCTATTATATTTATTACTGAGTCAGCTTCACTTCCATTATTGTCTCCAATTCTGGGCACTAAAAGAAGAAATTGGAGAAAATGGAAGAGTTTCTTAAAAGAATAACAAAGACCATTTAAATTTAAGTCCTGTGAAGAAAAATGGAAAGAACTGGGAATGTTTAGTTTTGGGAAGATGAAAAAAATGTGATGGAATATTTCAAACTCTTGAAGTGATGTAACAAAGAATGCAGTTCTTTGTTTGGAATAACAGAGTTAACGTGACAATATATTCCAGCTGAATGTTGTATAACATTTACCTGAAAGACCTATTTTCAGGATATGTTTAGAGGTTGGACTGTTGTGATTACTTGAATTGGATTCCTGTACACAGCAGAGAGTTGAAATGGGTGATTTAAATGGTTCTTCGCAATTCTATGATATTTAGAACTCTGGGCATTAATAGCAGATGCCTGGAACAAGCATGCTGGATTTTGATGAAAAGACTAAGATCTACTATTAATTTCAGATTATTATTTTAAAAAAGACAAGCGAGGAGGTTATTTTACTGTATCAAAGTTCTACCTGCAATATAGTTTGAAACATTTCAAATAATTTACAGTTCTTCATTTTTGGTTCTTACAAAGGTCAGTGGAAGAAAGCTTTAACTTGTCAGATGACAACTCGAGCCCAAATCCAGGAATTGTCAGGAAAAAGAAGATAGCAATTGGGGTGATATTCTCACTTTCAAAGGATGAAGAAGAAAATAGCAAATTTAATGAGTTCTTTTTCTCACACTTCCCTCTTTTTGAGAGCCATATGAATAAGCTGAAGAGTGCAATAGAACAGGTAATTACTGTCATCACCTATACATACTTTTAATTTATTTGCTAATTGTAATTTTACGATACAGCTTTGTCAGTTCAATCTGCAAGGTTGAGATTTATCAGAATTCATTTAGAGGCATTAGACCAGTGTTTCTCAACCTTCACAACATTAAAAAGTGTGGATTTAAGCATGCTGGCTAGAAAATTTTGGAAGTTTGAAGTCCACATATCATTATGTTGTCAAGTTTGAGAAACACAGGGTTAGACCAAGCTGACGATGGACATGCAGACTCTATAATGCTAATGTTAGGAAGTGGTCTTATTTCAGGGAAATGCATAAAGCTTTTGACATCGCTCTTAAGTGGCCAAAAAGGAAAGGCTGTACTGAGCTGATTTAGTTACTTTTTGAGATACATGGTTTAATATGTATGACTACAGATCTCTGAGTTAAATTTCCTAGTTATAATTCCTCCGCTCAATTATCTTGCCAAAGCTGTTTGGGCTTCCCTTTGAAATCCCTTTACATCCCCAAAACAGGCAAAGTCATTATAGTCATGCCATTGACATAGACATGTGTCTTTGAGTACATTAGCATATTCTCCACACTCTGATGTGAAGGTGCCTCTGCAATTCTTCCATGAACCTGTGTCTGTGTGTCCTCCTCTATATCTTGGGGCAAACCAGTGGTTGACTCGAGCCAAAGACAGATTTAGATTTGCTGGTGGGTACTATTTGGCTGGGACCCAAGTCACTCCATCCAGACAGTGTGGGGTGCATTGATGTGTGTGGGAGAGTTTGCCATAACATATTCTGCATCAGTAATCTAGTGTCTTTTGTGGACTCTTTTGCTGCGATGCTGGACTGTCCCTCTTGCCTCTAGTCCCTTACCACTGTGACTCCACTGCTCATTTTTGTTTTGCCTGTGTAGGAGACTGTACCACTGTTCCCCCCTCTTTTTAAAATGATAAATAGGGCACATTCATCAGCCGCACATTTGAAATAATCACAAAAAGCTTTTGAAAAGCAGTCAGTGTGCCAATTGGCAATTGCCTTGAGTGAGGCAGATGACATAGGTCTCTGCAGTCTTGCTTTGGTATATACTACAGATACACAGTCAGCAACACTGGATACACTGACTATGAGTGCACAGCACATGGTAGACAAAGGCTGCCAAATTTAGGGTAGGTTGGATTCCAGCTAGCTCTGACATGGAACAAGAGTATGGCTATTGGAATTGGCCTTAGTGAGTTGAAGGAATAGTTCTGCCATTCTCTCTCCTCTGCATATATTAAAATTATACAACATCCACAGCTGTGGAAACTGACTTCTGCTTGCAGAATAAGATTTCTTCTTCCTTGGACTCATGACTTCTCTTATATCTTCTGCATAGAAATCTGTCAGGGCTTTAGGGAGAATTCTAAGGCTGTAAAATGCACAATAGATAGATAGATGACTATGTCCATTAAGCTCCTGTACCCTATTTTAGTGGTGGAAAGTGTCCTGTGTTGCAGTCTTACATGAATACAGTGCATTGTGCACATTCCTGTTGGCACAAAGCGACAGAGAGCTTAAATCAGATATGGGAATATCTATGTGATAGTGGGGAGCACATGATGGAACACCATGTGAATTCTGAATTGGGTCCTAGTCACTTGCTTCAAAGAGATAAAGAGATGAAAACAATGGATCTGATTACTTTAGGATTGTGACCCACATTAACCTGCATTCTACCTCGCTAACAATGAATTCTATTTACTATTGGGTGCAGGCAATTAGCTGAAGGATTTGTTTGAACATGTAATCTGCTTTTGCAGTGTGGGAAAACTTGGGCCTCTTTATAGCCTCTTGCAAGCAAGAGTGTAGAAAAAAGGGACAGTGTAAATACTTGTTCCTCACATATCTCTATCTTGATATGAAACTTATCAAGGGACAATATTTATCTCATTAAAAAGAAGTCCACACACAGACATAACAAAAAAAGAAACCCATCCTTTGTTTGCCTGCTCAGGTCCACTTTAGATAAAACATAGCATATGACTTGGAGTTTTGTCTGATATTAGTTTAAACAATTTTTTTTTCAAGGCTATGAAAACAAGCCGGCGGTCAGCTGATGCCAGCCAACGGAGTTTGGCATATAACAGGATTGTGGATGCCTTAAATGAATTCAGGTGAGTGTTTTAATGCTTCTGGTAACAAACATATAATGCGGAAAATAAACTCTAAATTCACATTATTCTATGCTGAAGAGCAGTAATTAAACCATTGTCAACTATTGTTTAGAACAGAGGTGGTTAACTTATATTCTTTGCATGTTCTGCATCCAGATGTTCTGGCTGGGGAAACTAGTGGGCTTCTGGTTGTCTATTTTTAGATTTAAAAGAAATTTTAATGTAGAGACCTTTAGGCTTTCAATCCTGTTGCTGTTCTAGGGCAAAGATCTATAATCTGGGTGGTCTATAGTGAATCTGTAATGCAGGAGAACCCTGGGAACAGAGGTTTCTGCAGAAGAGAAAGAGGGGGCATTGCACCCCGTCTGCATCCCTTTTCTACAAGTGTGGGGGCATGGCATGCATTAAAAAATGTGTGTTTACAGTACAATGTTGCTTTCATCATCATGACAAAAGGTGTAGCTCCTGCAGACACTCCTATCCTGGAAGATTGCAATGCAACAAGAAACACCAAGAACTTTCCTAGAGAATGGGAGAAACACCTTCATATATATATGTGAATGCCTTTTATGTAATCAATTGCAGTGATTCAGTCTCTAGTTGTCACGTATAAGCAAATCTGCTGCCATTTCTTAGAGATATTTAAATGAATCCAACTTTCCTAAGAGGAAATAATGCCGATAGAATGATTGCTATTACAGCAGTTCATAAGCATCCAACACAGAAAACTAACTCAGAACTATATTTTGGGTGCAAAGTCTGTAACCTGTCATCTACTGTCTAGCTGCCTTTAATTTTGCAAAGTTTGCTTGAAGAAAGAATAATGATGGATTTATAATGTACTTCTGTAGTCAATTCAAGTCAGACATTCTGGGGTTTTGTTTGTTTGTTTGAAAAGCATGTGGTACAATGGATTTTGGATTCTTATTTTTATTTGATGTCTTATTTGATTCTTCCTTTTATTTGCTTCATTTGCTTCCATATTTGGAATCACATTATTGTAAGTGTAAGTCCTGTTTCAAGAACTCAGCTGACCTGTGGTGTCTTCCTCTGAGGCTTGGAACAGACTTGGCACTTTGAGGATGGTTTGCATCAGCTTCTAGTGAAAAGCAGAAGTGGTACTGATGGGGCCATTACTTAGGAATAGAGCAGAAAGTATGTGCAGTCCCAGCTTCGGTTCTTGACATATCCCAGTCACAGGAGTTTAGTTTGCTTGAGAGATTGGAGAGCTACTATTAAGCAGAACAGACTTCGATGGGCCAATCAAATCCAAGCCTAGATAGTTAGGTGTGCACAGCCCAATGGCAAAGCATTTCACAAGGCCATTTCATGTTTGCTATAGTCTTTATTCAATGGAATTGCAACATAACAGCAAATGCTTTACTTAGCATAGCTCTTGAATTCTTCCCTTGGCTACTTCTTTTGAAGTCCGAATCATTGCTTGATGCCTTTGATCTGAGCCATGTTTGCAGGTATAGCCGTGATTTTTAAAGGAGACTCTTCTCCTGGAAGATGGACACCCCATTCGAAATCCATTACCACCTTGGAATGTAGAGCTAGGATTAGGATTGTGTGGAAACAAGGAACAATTTGTCACTGGAGACTGTCAGCGTATTAATGTTTTAATATCACATAACTCCTTCCACATAGGAACACTAAACAATGCCAGTCTGGCTTTACTGCTGCATCTCTGTGTTCTCTTTGGCTTCTGAAGGCTTCTGCTAATTAACTTTCAGCCCAGCTGATGCTACAGAGGAAATTCTGAAGACCCGTTTTCTCTAGAGATACAGGGCTGGCAGGATCCCACTGCCAAGAATGTCCCTTTTGTTCTGCCTGCTGACAACTGAGATAGTTCTTTCTTTCTTCCCGAAGTCAAAGTGCCACAATGTCTTGACATTGTTAGAAGTGATTGGAATGATCGTTTTTGTGTGCTCCCCACATTCTGTTTTGGGGGTTTTCTTCTTCACTGCAAAAGCAGATGCAACAAAGAAACTGTTAGAATTGGGGAGGGAAACACGTGCTAATGGCTGGATGTTTCTGCTTCAGTGGGAAAATTACTTCCTCTGTGCTGTGTTATATTGCCTTCCTAGCCTCCTTTTTATATCCTCTAGTCTAGTATGAAATTGTTGCTGATGGCTACAAGGAAACGATGACGTCTTTAGGGAATTGCTGTTAGTTGCAATGTTCATGTCGTTAAAGAGGTCTAGCATTCTTCCCCCAAAAGTCTGCTTAACATGAATAAATGTGCAAGTATCTGTAAGCTGTAGCACATTGTATCCTGGAATGGACTCGGGGAGGTTTTGAAAGAGAGGAGGTGTTTCCTTGTACTGCATTGTATTTTTTAATATTATTAGTGCTGCTACTATGCAGACATACAGGACAAGCAGCACTCCAGTACTATAGGATTTCTCTGCAGTTACGATTTGGCTTGGAATTGCTTTGTTTATCTTTAGAAGGAACATTTCTCATTTGAACTTTGATTGGACTTGCTTGTGTTTAGGGACTGATTTTTTGAAATGGCTCGCCCTTTTTACCTTCATGGAGAATATTAAATAAAAAGGGATGGCTTGCTACTGAAGTGAAAGAGCAACTGAAGTGAAAACATTTCAGAGAGGGGAAAAAAATCAATCCTTCGTATTGTATATAATTGAGACATTTGTTGACTAAATCTTTAAGCACATGACATGTTGATTATGTAATTGGTTGGGAGGGAGGAAAATAGAGAAGTGCTTGGCCAGTAATGTGCCCAGAGATCTGAAGTACAGTAAATATTCTACAGCAGCAGAGCTGGGTGCATAGAAACCAAAATATTGTAGAGATGAAACTACCTCTGAGTTATTTTACTGTTTAACTAATCGCGTTAATGTGTAGAAGAGCTACTGTTGCCAGAGTGTTTGATAACCTAGTGGGAATTTTGGAGTTCTGCAAACTGCACAGTTTATCAAGTATTTATATTAGCAGTAGAGTAGCTAGTTCACTTTCCAATCTTTTTCCTCCCCTATAGAGTCAGCATGCCAAGGCATGCAATGTTTTCTTCATTCCTTTAAAAGCTTGTATCAGGACTTAGACTAGTATTTTTCTGTTTCCACATGATGGGGAACTAACATGGATGTTTTCAAATGCACAGTGGAGTGCTATGCAAAGAATCAAAGTGGCTGCCAATGGCTATAGACCTGCAAGTTGCCCAACCCTTTATTAGCAAATGAACCAGCAGATAATGATACCCATTCACCTACAGGTAGTCCACAACTTACGACTACAATCGAGCCCACAATCTCTGTTGTTAAATGAGATGTTTGCTAAGTGAGCTTTGCCCCCATTTTATGATTTTTCTTGTCACTGTCGTTAAATGAACCGCCACAGTTAATAAGTTAGTAACCCGGTTATTAAGTGAATCTGGCTTCCCCATTGACTTTGCTGGTCAGGTTGTAACGGGATCACATGACCTTGGGACACAACAACAATCATAAATATTTACCCGTTTCCAAGCATCTGAATTTTGATCACATGACCCTGTGGATGCTGCAATGGTCATTAGTGTGAAAAATGGTAATGTTACATTTTTAGTGCTATAGTAACTTTGAATGGTCTGTTGTAAGTCGAGGACTATCTGTACAAAAGAAAGAATGCTTCAAGATAGCATTGCTGGTTGCTTCCAATTTTTGCACTTTTCTTTAGACAAACACGTATGCATAGAGGGCGGTTCATCTCTTGTGGGAACCTGAGGGGAATGTTCTTTGTGGAAAGTATAGGCTTTTCATAAAATCTGCAAGTGAGTGTTTTATAATCTTATTTCTACTTACAACAAGCTACAGAATAGCTTGAACAATGTAAAAATAAGAACTAGGATGCCAAGAGTTCTAATATAAGGAATCCTGTTTTTACTGCTCTCATAACATTGCATCATTCTTACTTTTCTGTTCTTCACTGATTATATATATTTTTAAAAAAGACTCTGCCTCCAAACTTTTGTCTTTTTTATTTGAATATGCTGGCAGAGGGGAAAGAGTTGTCAGCTGGTGTGAGTCTGCCTTGCTTTCAAAAGAAGCTGGTTTTTTAAGGAAACCAGCCTTATATAAAGGCAAGTTTTATTTTTAGCATATGAATGTTTCTATCAGGTTTGAGGCAAATGGGTGGGTGGTGGGTGGGTGTGGATGATTAATTGGAATTGCTGACAAAAATCTGAAAAAGGTTGGTTAGCACCGAAGTGTTTCAAATACTAAAGAAACAGCAAAGGAGCTTTTGTCATCGAAACGTTACAGGGAGGAAACGAGTTTCAGAATTTAAATCAGTCACTGAGAGGCCCATGAAAGATGAGTTCATCCAGCCTTAAAGCAACCAGCCCTCAAGAGGCCATACAGTAATTTGGCTGGCATGTGCATTCAGTGGCTATTACATTTTTAAATAATAACCATATGGGGAGAGGAAAATGTTCATAAAAAGGAAGACACATTGCAAATGGGAAACATATCATGAGCTTCGAAAGCCAGTGTGCACAATGTTTTAAAACACACCCCACTACTCTCGAGAATCTTTACATTAAAAAACAATTTGTGCATCCTGACTTCTTTGGGCAAAAGCAGGTGTTATAGGGGAGTTGCGGGTTCCCCAAACACACCCACTTGCCCCCCCTCTTCACTGTGTCTTCAGGACAGCTCTGGTGGGGTTACAGGTCTCCCCATTCCCCGATACAGCAGGAATCTGACGGTTCTTCAGAGAGCCCTCCGGAGAACATATCCTGTTGCTGGAATTCAGGCCACACACACCCTGCATCATGACTTCTTTAATTTACAAAGTGTCTGTGTAATTTTCCGTGCCAAAAAAATAACCCCCCAAGAAATGCTTTCCTGTTCACACTTCAACATATTATGAATTTAATTATTCCTTTCCAGAGTAAAATTTTCAGCTTTTGGGCTAAGATCAGAACAAGTGGAAAAAATAAGCACAAAACAAATCAGGTTATTGACAGCACTTTGGCTTTTCCAAGTTCAAAATTGATG